GCCGGAGGTGCCACGGAGGTCGCACGACCGTTCCTTCAGCCGTGCAATATCGTGAAGGGGTATACCTTCATGATACTTCGAGTTTGACACCTGAGTGTCATAAGCGGTACTCGAATCTGCGAGGGACTGCTTGGTTATGGGCACTACATAGTACGCCATCATTTGCGACTGCTTGCGTATTCATGAATTGCTAGTTGATGTGGGAAGACCTTGCGTCCGTGCAGTTTTATACTAAGTCTCGCGCGCGACGCGTATTCGATTTCTGTATCAGAGAGTTATGGGATGCCTACTAAAGGGACTAGGATTGTGTGCGTTGTTTTGTTTGTGTCGTTCTGTGTGTGTTTTAATTTTTATGTTCTTAGAGTGGTGTAACGCGTGGTAAGTGGGATGCGTCCTAGTCGGCCGACGACCAGTCGCGGTTGGGACCTCAGCCCCCCAACGCGTCGGCTCACATGCGGGTCCGATAGAGGCGTAAAACCGCGCGTACCCCATATGCTACAGCAAACGAGAAACGCCCTCGGCTGGTCCACCTCTGCGATTGCAGATGATTAGCTTTCGTACTGTGGACTGGTAGCTTGGTGGGGATACGCCCACCGAAGGGAGGTGACAGCTCCCGTAAGGTGGAGGTAAGTCATGCCTCGCGTTGGCCCTATCCTGTCGAAGGGGCTCGCGAGAGGTATGGCTGGCGCACTCGGCCGGAGAGGCTTGCGGAAGCTCCATGTGTATTCGCGACGAGGATCAGACCAACTCGTGCGTGACGCGGCCGGGAGGGTCCCGCCCCGTTTGCGCAATGCTGGACCGATGCGCTCGACAACGCGGTTTACCAGTCAGCATTGGCAGGAGCTTATGCGAGTACACGGCTCAAAGTTGTTGATGTCATTTGGCCGTCATCCAGAGACTAATGATCAGACTGACCAAATGAATAAGATCCCGCAACAGATACTCAGGATGTACATTAGATCCGATCAGGTTAACTGGGATGAGATGCTCCCTAAAGTAGCTAGTGCTTACAATAACAGTGTCCGCTTAGATACTTTTCGAACTCCCAATGAGTTGCACAAGTCGTTTAGACCACGCAGGTCGTTTGAAGGATTGAATTGTGACTAAATACGGAGACTGTCACCCGGAACTAGAGAATTTGTGCAACAACATGAAAGAGAAATGGCAAGGGTGTCTGAGAATCTAAGAAAAGCTCAGCAGAAAATGATAGAGCAAGCTAATAAGCATCGTCACCCATCACAGCTCCACGTAGGAGATTTAGTCTGGGTCGAGTCCAAGGAGTTCGCCCCAGAAGAGAACATCTCGCAAAAGTTGTTACCCGCGTATAGGGGACCGTGGCCCGTCCTAGAAGTAAAGGGTGGAGAGGATGGGCATTCCTACACGATAGAGATACCGACACACGTCCACACATACCCTGTATTCCATGCATCAAAGCTATTACCTTGTGTCACCAGCCAGCAATTCTCGTCGCGTCGATTGATGATTCCGTCGAATATGGATGACACATATAACATAGATCGCATTTTGGAAGAGGATGTGTTCAAAATTGGAGGTAGGGGTCGTCCCCAAAAACAATACAAAGTCAGGTTCGCTTATCAAGAACCCAAGAACGACCACTGGTTTACAGGAATAGAGCTTCTAGAGACCGCTCCCGACGTAGTGCACGCCTACGACGGAGAAAGGTAAAGGTTATGCCTGGAGTTGGAGGACCGCGGGTTTAGGCCGGCGTGAGTGAAACGGTTTTCACCTTTACGGTAGCAGATGCAGTACCCCGGGCTAGACCTTACCCCTACCCATGTACAACACCAGTTGACCCGTGTCTGTTTGAACCCGCGACCTGTGTTATGAAAGTCGTGTGTTTAGCCGTTGTAGATAGTGTGGCCGTCGGGTCTTGAGTTGTAGATCTGTTGTTTAGGAGTCAATAGCAGTGTGGTCTAGGTCGTAGCTGTTACAATGTCGAAGGGTCAAGGTCGTAGCTGCTACAATACCGGAGGGTAAAGCCTACGGCCTGCTGGAACTTTCGGAAGTGACCTTTCGTGAGTCTTAGAGTCCGTCTGCGTATGAGCCAGCAAAGGGCAGTCCTAAGTCCTACCTGTCCTAGTCAGCGGTACCCAGTTCCAGTCACACTTTGTCAAGTCAGCAAGTACCATTAGGGACTGTGTGCACCTTGGGTTCGGTGGAGAGGAGCAGACCAGCGATGATCCGAAGTATAAATAAAGAGGCAATGTTCAATCATTCATTCATTCT